AAAATTCCAATGGCATCTTTCACAAAAATAGAACAATCAATCCTAAAATTTGTATGAAACCACAAAATATGTCAAATAGCCAAAGTAATCTTTGTTAAAAAAAAAAAAAAAAAGCTAGAGGCATCTTCTTCCTGATTTCAAACTTATTATGAAGCTACAATAATCAAAACATTATGGTATTAGCATAAAAACAGACATACAGACCAGTGAAACAGAACCAGGAGTGCATAAATAAACCCATGCATACATGGTCAACTAATATTTGATAAGAGAACCAAGACTACTCAATGGGGGAAAATACAGTCTCTTCAATAAATGGTGCTGGGAAAACTGGATAGCCATAGGCAAAAGAATAAAACTGGACCACTATCTTAGAGTATACACAAAAATTAACTCAAAATGGTTAGAGTTGAATATAAGACCTGAAACTATAAAAGTCCTAGAAGAAATCAAAGGCAGTAAGCTCCTGGACATCATTCTTGGCAATGATTTTTTGGATATGATGCCAAAGCAAAACTAAACAAGTAGGACTACATCAAACTAAAAAGCTTCTGTTCAACAAAGGAAACCATCAACAAAATAAAAAGGCTATCTACCAAATGGGAGTAAATATCTACAAATCACATATCAATATCCAAAATATATAAAGAACTCATACAACTCAATAGTAAAATAAACAAACAAAAACACATTAGATTAAAAAATGGAATCAGAGGATCTGAATAGATATTTTCAAAAGAAGATCTACAGATGGCTAACTGGTACATCACTAATTATCAAATAAATGCAAATCAGAACCACAATGAGATATCACCTTACACCTATCAGAATGGCTATTACCAAAAAGACAAGAAATAACAAGTGTTAGTGAGGATGTGGAGAAAAGGGGGCCCTTGTACACTGTTGGTGGGCCTGTATATTAGCACAGCCACTATGGAAAACAGTATGGAGTTCTTCCAAGGATTAAAAATAGAATTTCCATATGGTCCAGAAATTCCACCCCTGGGTATTTATCCAAAGGAAACAAAACACTAACTTGAAAGATGTATGCACTCCATGTTCATTGCAGGAATATTTATAATAAAGAAGATGTGGAAGCAACCTAAGTGTCTGCTATGGATGAATAGATTAAAAGAAAATACATACACACACAAACATACACACTCTGGAATATTATTCAGCCATAAAAAAGAAAGAAGTCTTGCCATTTGCAATAACATGAATTGACATGAAAGGCAGTACACTGAGTAATATTTCAGACAAGTACTGTATGATATCCCTTAAATACAAAAAAAAAAAAAAAAAAGAAAACAACAAAAAACAAAAAACACCAAACTCACAGATACGGAGAAAAGACTGGCAGTTGTTGGAGGTAGGGATTGGGTTGTAGGAGTTGGGTGGAATCAGTGAAGGTGGTCAAAGGTCAAATTTCTACTTATAAAATAAGTAAGACCTAGGGAATATAGTGTACATCATTGTGACTATAGTTAATAAATTGTGTATTTGAAAGTTACTAAGAGAAATTTTTAAAGTTATCACAAGAAAAACATTTTTGCAACTGTGTGTGGTGATTCATATCAACTAGACTTATTGTAGAGATCATTTGACAAGATATATAAATATTGAATCAATATTTTGCACACCTAAAAATAATGTCAATTATAGCTCAATTAAAGGAAAAAAGAAAATGACCTAACAATATGCTATCTACAAATAAACTACTTCAAGTACAATGACATATTTAAGTTCAAAACAAAAGGATGGAAATAGAATATGCAAATATTAGATTTTTTTAAAAAGCAGGAGTGACCATATTAATATGAGACAAAGTAAATATCAGAGCAAAGAAAATTATTTGAGACCAATAAAGACATTACATAATGATAAAAGAATCAATCCAGGAAGAAGACAAGAATTCTAAATGTGTGCATACCAAACCAAAGAGCCTCAAAAATACAGAAAGTAAAACCTAATAGAACTGGAAAAGGAGATAAATTTATCCAAAATTATAGTTGGAGATCTTAATACACTCTTCTCTTGGGATTTGATAGAATCATCAAACAGAAAATAAGCAAGGATCTAGAACTCAACAACACAATCAACCAACAATATCTTTTTTTCAACCAACAATATCTAGTTGACAAATATAGAACATTCCACTCAACAAGAATGCACATGTTTTTCCAGAGTCCATAGAGCATGCCCCAAGAAAGACCATATCCAAGACCATAAAACAAACCTTAGCAAACTTAAAAGAACTGAAATTATACTATGTGTGTGTGTGTGTGTGTGTGTGTGTGTGTGTGTGTGTGTGTGTGTGTTTACCACAGTGGAATCAAATCAATAACAGAAAGACAAAATTTCCAAACACTTCCCAATTAATTAAAACACTTCTAAGTAATTCATGGTCTCAAGATATGTCAAAGGCAATTTTTTTTAAGTTTATTTATTTTAAGAGAGACAAAGAAAGCACAAGCTAGGGAAGGCTGGAGAGAGAGGTAGAATCCCAAGGAGGCTCCACATGGTCAGTGCACAGAGCCCAAAGCAGGGCTCAAATCCACAAAACCATGAGATCATGACCTGAGCTGAAATCAAGAGTTGGACACTTTAACCGACTGAGCCACCCAGGCACCCCTCAGAGACAATTTTTAAAACTACATATAATTCATGGGGCGCCTGGGTGGCGCAGTCGGTTAACCGTCCGACTTCAGCCAGGTCACGATCTCGCGGTCCGGGAGTTCGAGCCCCGCGTCAGGCTCTGGGCTGATGGCTCAGAGCCTGGAGCCTGTTTCAGATTCTGTGTCTCCCTCTCTCTCTGCCCCTCCCCCGTTCATGCTCTGTCTCTCTCTGTCCCAAAAATAAATAAACGTTGAAAAATAAAAAATAAAAATAAATAAATAAAACTACATATAATTCAATTAAAATGAAAACACACATATCAAAATTTGCAGGATTCAGTTAAAGCAGTGCTGAGAATTACACTAAATGCATACCTTAGAAAAGAGGAGGAATATCAAATCAATAATCTAAGTTCTGACTTCAAGAAACTAGAAAAAAGGAGCAAAGTAAGCTCAAAGAAAAGTGAAGGAAGAAATAATAATGATGATTTATTAAATAATAAAAATAATAAGCCAGAAAAAAATTGAAAACAAAGAAAATGGAGGAAATCAAACAAACAGCTAGTTCCTCAAAAAAGAAATCGATACAATTTAAAAACTACTAGTAAGACTGACTACACATAACCAACATTCAACTAAGATAAAATAGAAAACCAAAAGAGTCCTATAACTACTAAATACATTGAATTTGTAATACAAAATCTCTCAAAATAATCTCCAAGCCTAGGTATTTTCACTAGAGAATAATACCAAACATTTAAAGAATTAACCCCAATTTTACTCAATCTCTCCCAGAAAACAGAAGAAGAAACACTTCTCAGTTCATTTTATGAAGCTAATAATACCCCAATATCAGAACCAAAGACAATACAAATAAAAATTAAATCAAAATAGAACTGTACTTAAATACAAAATGTATAACTATATAATTTTTAGAAAAAAAATTTAAAAATTAAGATCCAGGGTTAGGCAAAGAGTTCTAAGGAGTGATACCAAAAGCACAATCAATAAAGAAAAAATGATAAACTGGACTCTGAAAAATCCTGTAAAGAGGGTCAAATGTCAAGCTATAGACTAGAAGAAATAATTTGACAAAAGAGTAGTATCTAGAATACATAAGAATACCACAATGAGATATCACTACAAAATTATCAGAATGGCTTAAAAAAAAAAAAAGAACAAGATGCGCTAATAATGATGTGAAGATACAGAATGTAAAATGTTACAACCCCTCTGGGAAACAGTTTGGGATATTCTTATAAAACTAAATTTTGAACTACCATAGAGTCCCTCTAACTGTACTTCTGGGCAGAGAAATGAAAACATGTTCACAGAAAAACACATACATAAATGTTTATAACTGCTTTAATCATAATAGCCACCAACTGGAAACCCAGATGTCCTTCAATAAGTGAATGGCTAAACACACTGTGGTACTTCTATACCATGGAATATTGCCCAACAATTAAAAAAAAATACTGATACTTACAACAACTTGAATGAATCTTCAGAGAAGAAGAAAGCAAATCCCAAAAGGTTACATACTGTATGATTTCATTTATATAACATTCCTAACATGGCCAAATTACTAAGTGAAAAACAAATTAGTGATAGAAATCAGGGATGGGGTGGGAGAATTGGAAGGAGAGGATGTGGTTATAAGGGGGGAATGTGAGGAATCTTGGTGGTAACTGAAACACTCTGTACTTTGAGAATATCAATGTCAGTATCTTGGTTGTGATATTACACCATAATTTTGTAGGACATTACTTTTGGGGGAAATTGAATGAAGAGTACATGGGGTTTTTCTGTATTATTTCCTGCAACTACAATTAAATCTGTATCTCATGGAAGCAACAACCTAAGTATCAAAATAAAAAATTCAATTAAAATGGAATGACACTAAAGCATAATTTGAGAGGAAATTTATAGCACTACAGACATGTATTAGAAAAGAAGTTCTCAAATCAATAACTTCAGTTTCCACCTTAAAAAATAGAAAAAAAAGATCAAATTAACTCAAAGTTAAGCAGAAGAAAAAAATAAAAAGATCTAAGCAGGAATCAATAAAACTCAAGTTAGGAAAACAATATAAGAAAGCTCTGAAGCCAAAAATTGTTTCTTGTGAAAATCAATACAACTGATCAAAAAGAGAGGGGTGGGGAAACAAATATTACCAATATAAAGAATTCAAGATAGGACATTAATAGTTCTCTCACAGACATTAAAAATATGCCAATAAACTGGACATTGTGGGTTTTCACAATCATTATTCATTTCAAAATAAATCAACTTTACTTGGTCATATTTCACTTACCTGAATATTTAAGGAAAAGTAATTGGTATTAATACAACAAATACTGAACCAAAAGTTAAGGATACATTCGTATAGCACCTGTTCTTGTCCCAATAGCCAAGATTTTCTGAACTGGATCAAAGGCTAATGCTGTGGGCTGATAAGGAAAACCATGCCGAACTGTCTGAAAGAGAGCAGATAGTAAAAATAATCACCAGGAAAATTAAAATTAAAATCACAAGATACCACTATCCAACTACCATAATGACTAAAATAAGTATTTTAATTAAAAAAAATTACCATATGTTGGTAGGAGTGTAAAATGACACAAGCACTATCTGTCCTATGACCTATATTTCACTCCTATTTATGTATCCAAGAAAATAAGAGCATATGGCCACATAATTTGTGTAAGTATGCCCCTAATAGCTTTATACATAACAACCTGGAAAAAGTGCTAGTGTCCAACAAGAGAATCAAAAACCAAAAATGTGGTATACTCCTACAATAAACTACTACTCAACAGTAAAAGATAAAAACTAGTAACAGATGCAACAACATGGATGATTCTCAAAAACATTATGCTAAATAAAAGCAGCAATACACAAAACGGTGCATATAGTATGATTATATTTATATTAAAATTTGAACAAGCAAAACTAATCTATCATTTAAAAAAATCAGAGCAGTGATTGATTTGAGGAGAACTCACTGGATGAGGGTATGAGGGAACTTTATTGAGTCAAGGTAATATTCTATATTTTCATAGAAGTTTGGATTACACAAGTGTATACATTGGTCAAAACTCATCAAATTGTACAATAAAGTTTATGATTTCTCTGTATGTAAACTGAATGTCAAAAAAAGAAAAAAGTATTATTAACAAATATTTAACTCTAGTTAATGATATGCACACTGAGGTTTTAAGAGGTAAAGTGTACTGACACCTGCAATTTAATTCGAAAGGCATCCAAAGAAGTAATATGGTTAGACAGATGGATAGACATATATGATAAAGCAAATATAGCAAAATCATAACTGTCAAATCTAGGTGGTGAGAATGTATGTTAGGTGTGTGTATACATGAATGTTCACAATATAACTTTTTCAATTCCTTTGTATGTTTGAAAGCTTTCATAGTCATACAATGGAAAAAAAGAAAAAATATAGAGTTGATAATATCATAAAGATGATAAAACTAACATAAGGATATCCAATAATATACAGGAATTAATTTCAACATGAAATATAACTTTTCAAAGAAATAGAGGACCCACATAGGTCAGGGAATGGGGATTCTAGAAGGAGCTTGGGAAGACAGTAGAGTAGGAAGACCTTGAGCTCACACCATCTCATGTTTACACCTAGATATCATCCACATCCAAGTAAATAAACCCTTATGATCTGAATAAAGTCAGAACAAATTCTACAACTAAAAATAGAAAAGAAGCTGCATCTCTGAATGGTTAGCAAGGACAGAAAGGCAGAAGGAGGCTGCCTGCAGGAGGGCAGGAGCTATGCACTCAGGGAAGAGAAATGGGCCCTAGCACCAGGGAGCACCACAGTAGGGGGCGGGTACTCATAACGTTATAATCCTCATAATGTTTGGCTTTGAAAATCACAGGGGATGAATTCCCCTGGAGCCTGGAGCTTTAAAAGTCAGCTGACTCAGCACTGGGCTAGCCAGGAGGGCAAGGGATAGCTAGGTTGCTGCCCTTAAAAAGACAGAAGAGGCAAAGAAGCAACATAAAAATGGCAATTAACACAACACAAGGGGCAAACAGAAGACAGATCTGTTCATGCTGATCTCAGAGTGTGTTAGATTACTTCTCTGAAAATGAGGGAGCTGGCAGGCATCATTTTCCTCCCCCCAGCATCCCCCGCCCCCACCCCAGCATAAACACAGGGTCACCTGCCAGAGGAAAGGCTGCATAGACCCTTGCTGACTAACCTGCTAGCAGTATGCCATGCCCATGAGTTCTCCTGGGGATTTGCCCACTCCAACCCTGCTAGCCTTGGCCCTGGGTTCAGAGCCAATTTTGTTAAAGCTGCCCATGAAAAATTATTAGAATAAAGGAGTTCAGTAAGATTTCAAAATTAGTTGTACAAATATAATATTTCTATATACTAGTAATGTACTATCCAAAAATGAAATTAAGAAAACAATTTCATTTATAATAGCATCCAAATGAATAAAATACTCAGGAATAAAATGAAGAGAAGTGCAAAACTTACATGCTATAACTACAAAACGTTGAAAAAAATTAAAGACAAATAAAAGGAAAGCCATCCCATATCATGGATTAAAAGACTTAATATTGATAAAGTGACAATACTCCCCAAATTCATCTCCAGAGTCAATGCCATCCCTATCAAAATCCCATCTGACATTTTTTGCAAAGTTCAACAAATTGATCCTAAGATTCCTATGGATATTCAATGATCCAGAATACCAAAAGATCTTGAAGAAGAAAGTTGGAAGATTCACATTTTCTGTTTTCAAAACTTACACAAATCTACAGTAATTGAGCAATGAGATACTAGCATAAGGACAGACAGATCAGTGGAACAGAACTGAGATTCCATAAACAACTCCTCACATTTTTAGTCAATTTATTTTTAATCAGGGTTCCAAGACAATTCAACAATGAATGAGAGAATAGTCTTTCAACAAATGGGGCTGCAACAACTGATACCCACATGTAAAAGAATTAAGTTGAACCCTTTACTTACTTTATTCCAATATTAACTCAAAATAGATTACAGACCTAAATGCAAGAGCCAAAACTATAAAGATCTTAGAAGAAAACATACGCTTAAATCTTAGTGAACTGGGATTAGGCAATTAAATCTGACATCAAAAACACAAGCAACAAAATTAAAAAGATAAACTGAACTTTGTGAGAACTAAAAACTGTTATGCTGTAAAGGACAGTATCAAGAAAGTAAAAAGACAACCCAAAGAATGGGAGAAAATATTTGCAAGTCATACAAGTCATGTATCTGATAAGGAATTTATATCCAGAGTATATAAATGACTCTCACAACTCAATAATAAAAATGGGCAAAGGATCTTAATAGTCACTTATCCAAAGAATATATACAAATGAGCAATAAGCACATGATGACATGCTCAACAGCATTAGTAAATCACATCCACAACAGGATACAATTGTATAGCCACTAGGATGACTATAATAAAAAAGATAGATGCCAACACATGCTGACAAAGATGTGGAGAAATTGGAGGTCTAATACTTTGCTGGTGGGAATATAAAATCATGTATAAAATCTTTGGAAAATAGCTTGGCAGGTCCTCAAAGTGTGAAATATAGAGTTACCTATGACCCAGTGATTCTGCTCCTGGGTATATAACTAAGAGCAATGAAAAATAAATGCACCCAAAACTTCAATACAAATGTTCATAGCAGCATTATTCAGAATAGCCAAAAAGTACAAACAACTCAAATATCCATCAACTGATGAATGGATAAATGAAATGCAGTATATCCATACAATGGAATATTACTCATTAATAAAAAAAGAATGAAGTACACATACATGCTACACAGGATGTACCTTGAAAACGTTATGCTAAATGAAAGAAGCCAGTCATATATTATATGATTCCATTTAATGGAATGTACAGAATAGAAAAATCTGTGGAGTATGTGGTTGATTTCAAAAGAATGAAGGCTATCAATAGAATGACATAAATTCAGTAAAAATAAATGAGGCAAGAGAAAAATGTAGAACAGAGTCTAGAACAAACATGTCAAGGTAAAAAAATTCTCAATTTTAGTGCCAGGTAGGATTGTTGAAATACTATAGTTTATGCTCAGTTGGTGAAATAAGATGGCAGTAAAGCTGATCAATAAGAAAATGAGGTTTTTAAATACATAATTTTTCCTTGTTTTTTCTTGCAAGATTTTATTTAAATTCAAGTTAGTTAACATATAGTGTAGTATCAGTTTCAGAAGTAGAATTTAGTGATTCATCACTTACATATAACACCCAGTGCTCATCACAAGTGAATTTTTCTTAATGTTATTTTGTTTGTTTTCTTTTGTTACACTCTCTATATTAGTCTGTTCAGGCTGCTATAACAAAATAACATACACTGGTGGCTTAAGCAAGATATTTATTTCTCACAGTTCTGGAGGCTGGAAGTCAGGATCAAGTTACCAGGTATTCAGTTCCTTCCTAGCTTGCAGATGGCCACGTTCTCACTGTATCTTCATATGATGCGGGGAGGGAGTCTCTATTCTTAAAAAAAACCACTAATCCCATCATGAAGATGACCCTTATGGTGTCATCTAACCCTAATTAACTCCCAAAGGTCCCCTCTCCAAATACCATCACACTGGGGGCTAGAGTTTCAAAATATGAATTTTAGGGGGACACAATTCATTTCATAGCACTCTCCCTTGAAATTACTACAAGGGATGAGGTGAGGTAGCCAACCATATCAATAGCTCTTGAAGCAAAAGATACTTGAAGCAAAGAAAGATATAACAGAGAGAACTGGTTATGAATACGTGGAAAGATTGGTCATATTACCCTAAGTTAAGAAAGCTGCTACCACCTTTGAGATGAAAGAAACCTGTATTCACTGCTGACAGTGCAAGAGTTATTACCAGAAGCAAATGACTTTTACTTTCTTTGTATCTTCTAATCCAGTCTAAGTGCCTCCCATTGGCAGAATCTAAGCATAACATCTTAGCTTTAGTTTAGTTTAGTTTGAATTTCAATTTCCTCAGTATATAAATGAGAACACAGAAGGACCATTGTGGAACTGAGAGCAGTGTGAAACAAAGTAGAATTCACATTTGGCCTGATGGACTAAGCTTAATACTACTATAATATTTCAAAACAGCCTTAAAACCTCCTGTGACAGAGACTGCCTGTTGCTCCTTAATATCTTCTTTTCCCCTTTTTCTATAGTAATAAAATTTTGAGCCCAGCACATAGCAATCCAATTCACACTATATTCCGAGCCCCCACAGCAGGCTAGATTAGAATCTGAACAAAGGAATGACAGCAGAAGTGATATGAAGCCTTAAAAGTAAGGCAAATACTACTTTTTTTTTTTTTCTCACCTTCCTACTGATTGGAAAATGTACTCAATGGCAGGTTTTGGATCAGCCATCTTAGAACATGAGGTAGAAGCCATAGGTTAAGGAT